TTCACAAGTACTGTATCCCATCACCCTAATTTTGCTTACTCAAATAAATTCAAGTAAGTGAATATAGTAATCTGAATACAAATGCTATTTGATACTTAATAAGCATCTTCTCTCTCACTATAGTATATTATAGTACATATAGTATAAAAGGTATCTCTTCACACTGCTTAGACCAACGGAATAGGTACATTTGGAAACTAGCATTTGGAAAGCAGATGCACAAGAATCACCACAGGCCCATCCATCTAAGAGGTAGCTGTGTCCTTTCAACAGTTGATCTGGAGCATGATAGCCAACGACAGCAAGGATGGGGAACCGACTACGTAAGAAAATGCTGCCTAGGAGCTTGTTTCACTGTGTTAGAGCTGGCAGAAGCCCAAAGCTGGTTGTGCTATTGGACACAATGAAATATGAAAAGTTCTGGCAGGCAGTGTAGATAAAACAAGACTGAGGACAACTGGGACTACAGACCTGATTTAATGAAGCTAGTATGTAGAAGGAAAGAGCCAGGCAACAGTGAGAAGGGAACCTGCTTTATGAGGTACGCTGCAGAACAATAGAATGTATAGAAGGTGCTTCTGTATGGGCAAGCAAATAGTTATGAAAACACAAATTAGTAGGAAAGCTATTTAGGGAATTCATAGACAAGGATGTGTTTTGAGCCCCAGTAATCACTGGCAGCTGGATTCTTCTTACCTAATTTCATTCATTGAAGAGTTAACTGATGATCCTAAAATAGCTACTCTAGCCCACTCTCATGTCAATGAAGACAATAGATACCTTAAGATACCTACAAGAGATTCAACATATCTAAAATTATTTTGACAGTTTGAGTTGCCCACTGGACATGCGTATGTTTCCTTCTCCATGTCTACACCGGAAATCCAGTTAACTAGCTTACACCAGATACATAATTGCTTTAAGTCAAGCAAAGTGCATCCTTTCCTAAATTCCTTAGGACTGCAATTTCAAGTTCTTCTGTCAGCTCTGCTGTATTAACATTGTGTTGTTAAAGATATGAAAGAATACCTTGAAACAAAGTTTTCAAATCTGATAGTCAATGGCAATGCTAACAAGTTGTTACAACGAACTCATCTGTTCTTGAAAACAATGTGCATTTGGCCATACAACCTCCATTTTGACAAAATCCCTCTCCAGAGTCATGGAGGAAGTGCAGAAGTTAAGGTTACATGGTACTTTTCTATTATGGTACACAAAGAAAGAAACATAAAATTAGGGAATAAATCATCCTTTTTCAAGAAAGGAGACTACAAGCAAAGAACAAAGGATTTATACCTAACTTTTAAATGGTTTCAGCAACAAGCAACAAAATATGGTGAACAGTGGTGAAGTTGAATCATCAGGAAGAACACATGAATTTCTTCAGTTAGTACGGAATACCATGAATAACTTACAGATCCTGTTTATAACATGCCAGGGGAGCATTACAAGAGATGAAATACAGAGTAGATCAGTGCAAAGTGATTCACATCAAAAGGAACCATTTTAGAGATACACATGTTAACAACTGGGGAAGAAAAGATGTATTATGGTGGATACATCTGCTTATTGAAAAAAAATGCTCAGTGAACAGAGAGAGAAAAAAAAGCAGGATGTTAGACTGTATTGAGATAAAGAAAGAAAATAATGCTGAAAATATTATAAAGTTATTATGTAGAACAGTGATGAATCCTCGCTGTGACCATGGCATTCAGTTCTGATCAAAAAATCTTGAAGAGATTAATGTGGAAATTGAAAGGTTTGGGAGATGGGCAGTAAAAAGTTTTAAAGGCAAAGAAAAACTTGTTTATGAACAGAGATAAAAAGGATACAGACTAAAACAGGAGTGCAAACAGCTGCGTGCTTTAGAAAGCCGCTGTAATTTCTAAGAGAATTCTTGATGTGTGCACAGACAGTGCTTCTTAGATTAGCAAACTCTTGGAAAATAGTAAAAAACCTGAAGATTTACCTACTCAGTGTAATTTGAAGAGGAACAATCCCTACTGTAGGTAGTTTAAAGAACATAAATCAAAAACTTTTATTTATACTTAAAGACAAGAGGAATAGGGCTACAACAGACTTGCTCGTGTACATTAAAAAGCAACCTATTTATAGCACAGAAAAAGAAACACCACTTTACGCTACATGTAAGTAATCTATGAACTCATTTCCATGAGGAGACATTGAGGTTTTAGTCTGTCAAGTTTGAAAAAGTTGTATGAATAAATAACACGTAGTCTACCTAAGTAAAGCTGACTAAAACCAATATCTGAGACATTTAAGTCTTCAGTCATCAGGCAAAAGTAAGCACTAGCACGCATTACTTAGCAACTGGAGCAGTTTACAAAGGTTCCATTACTGTGACTCAGCTAACAAGCAGCAGCTTACTATCATTGCTTGCAATCACCTCTTTTTCTCCTGAAGTACTCAGTTTCCAAGGAAGTGACAAGTTTAAAGTTAAACTAGGATCATCTGTAACTGAAACATTTTTACTACATTATTTATTTCCTGCATTCATTTCTCCATGACATTCTAAAAACTTTTCTCAAACTTGTGTTGTAATCTTTCCCCATTCTGAAGTTTCTTTCATCAAGTTACAAGACACCAAATGCCATGTGACACCATTTTCAAAAATATTTTGAATTCCTGCTGAGCCCTCTGGGTTTAAGCATTCACTCAATTCTTCTGAAAATGAGATTTTAAACTGTATGTCTAAATACGCTATCATTACCCAAACACTGCAGTTAGGCTAAATCTTTACCCAGGCAATAAAATAAATTCAGGGTCTCCTTAAACTTCATGTAAATCTATTCACTTTTCAAATACTACGACAGCTTGTATAGTACTAGCTCAATTGCTTTTCACTGTCCGTCAGCATTATTCCTAAGGGAAATCTAGCTCTCATACCTCTTTTCTGCTCCAACTGAAATTCACGGCAAAATTTCCTCTGACTTCCTTCAGTAAAATCAGAAGAGCCAGTAGAGGGAGCACAAATACATACATTCTGTGGTTCCTATACAAATAATAACATGTACTATTTTTTCATATAGTGTTTGCACTACTTTTTTCCCCCCTCCCCAATCAATAATACCATCTTGATCAAGCTCCAAGAGAATCTGATCCAAAGTAAGGAAACCATGTTATTTGGTTGCCCTTCCTGCAACCCCTGGGACCTCAGGACTCTGTGTAACAGGCAAAGGGTGAACCCTGTGGAACTGGCATTGGCAAAACAATGTTTTCTACCTCCACAGCACTGCTGGGCAGACCAGCTTAAGGCTCTTGGATGTAACCAATTCTCTACGACTGTTGATCTCTGCCTACTGATAGTGTCACATGAGTGCAGAGGTTGGGTGAATTAGTACAATACATCATAATGTAGCTAAACAGAGCTTTCTGCCTTGCACCCCGCTCAGTCAGCAAACTGCAGCTTTCAGCAGTTTGTCCCTTTATCTGAGCCCAGTGCCACGAGCTGTGCAGAAAATGGTCACACCTCTGTCCCCTCTCTGTCCACCAACACTACTGGCAGACATTGCCTGGAAGAAGTTGCTTTGTTGCAGGACTCAGAAGGTGAGTCCTGCAGATGAGAATGTCTCAGGCAATAGTACAGGTCTTCTATCCTCCGCTTTACTTCAAAATTGTATGTATTTCAAATGGGATCTCAGGATTGCTATGATTTTTGAGAGCTTCCCCCATAAAGGAGGGAAAGATCTAATCTCTTCAGGGGACTGATTCAGAAAGAAATACCCCACCTCACACACACCCAGGAAACCAAATATAAACGACTGAGTTTCTTATTCTATTGTCAAGCTTTCCTGTGTGGAGAACCCAAAGCCTGCCCTCCCATCCATCCTACTTTGTTTGAAACCATATACATGGAATGATTGCAAAAGCACTCATCAGTAGTGCAAGTATGCTCCCATTAAAGAAAATAGAGTTAGATAAATGACAAGTGCTTTGGAAAATGCCTCTGCTAGATACTACGGAGGATAAGATGGGGAAAAAAATCATGTAACCATTCTGATGTGGAAACTTTTCAAAACAAACAGAAAAGTCACCTTAGAGATCCATTGGTTCTCTACTCCTAAATTTGAAAAAATCACGGCTAAGCTTCGCGAATGAAGATTTGGGGAAAAAAAAAGATAAAATCATTGGTTTGGAATTCAGGGTGTCCTGGGATTTTCAACAGCATACAAGAAGCTGTTACCTGTGCTTAGAGGTGTAGGCAGGACTGGCAATAAAGTACTACCAGCAACAGAGATGCTAAGATGAACATTTAAGTAACAGACATTTTTATAAGTACCTCTTTGGTAATCACATTTGATGGATTTTCCATCCTCAATTTTGTCTCTTTCAGAGAAAAATGTGGGACTACAATTCCTTGCTCTACAGATGTAGGCAAAACTAATTAATTTGACTTTAGAATACTATAAAAAGAACAACAGAAATCTTTTGGGTCAATGTGGTCACTGGAGCCATCCTTAACTCTGTGAATCACCTGCTGCCTTACACTGAGTAATAATTTCCCTAAAATACTTTCTGTCTATGCAAATATATATAAACATATCTGATTTTTCAGTGAAGAGGACTAACAAGATTTTATATTTTTCCTTTCTTTTCTTGCATGTTCCGAATCATTTCAAACCCCAGCCTACTAGATGACCACTAACTAAGGTACTCAACTTCATAGGCCAGGTGGGTCTCCCCTGTCTCATAATCCTATTACACTTTCACTGCAGAAAATATCTCAGTTGGCCCTATATTGACCCTGAAAAGAAAAGAAAAAGAATAACTGGATAATTCTTGGATGTATAAGTAAATTATATAATATGACATTATTAATAACTACATATATAGTATGCAGTAATACACTAGAAATTAATTTTTGTTATTAAAAATGACAAAGAACTGGGGTTTTTTAGAGAGGCCACAAAAGTGTCCTTGACAAGTAGAAGATTTCTGTGTGTCTGTTTTGAAAATCATTCCATCTACAGACACTTTACCTGCTGGCCTGGTTTGAGCGGCGATAGAGTTATTCCCTGGGTATTGATCACTGGGAGTATCTGGTTGCCGATGACAGTAGCGATGATTTGACCCTGGGCATTGGTCAGTAACTGTGGAGTTATCGGCTGCACCTGAAGTCCCTGAGCTCCACCTGCTGCCTGGCTGGAGGGGACTGGATTAGGCATCAATGGGATTGTTCCAATAATCTGGAAAAAACAACATAGGGAAAATGCACACTTGCCACATATACTTACCACACGTGATTACTTATATTATGCATGTTAAGTCAAACTTAGGTGAAATAAACACAGAGAGACAGGTAAGACAGGCTGAGGGTGGGAAACAACCATTCCTTCACTGGGGTAATGAGGACTTTCAAACTCATTTGTCATGTCACATATCACCTGTACATTTTGCCACTGTCCACTGTCACCTGCAACAATATGCCGTGGCTGAGAATGTATGAAACAAATGCTGGGCCAAGCCTGGGGCCCTGCATCATGGTTTGTTCCCACCTCATATTTTAACATAGAGTGAAATAGATATAAATATCAGTGGTTTTGTCCTTCTTTCTACAACTCATCCGTACAATGGTACTAACTGTGTAATGCCTGTGTAATTTTCCTTGACTTACTGATTCCTAGTACTCTAGATGACCACCCATTACTACCATGTGATCTCAGGAAGGAACAGAGGGATACTGGTGCCTTTCAGGACATGCCTTATTAAGATACATTCATAAAAATGCAACCAGTTTTGGATGACAACTATGAAGTACAACACAACAGGAGGACTGATGTTAGATAAAATATATTAAGTAACATTTCTGGGGCAAGTACTTGCAGAAAGAGACACTTATGACATCTCAGACTTGGGAATACAGTGAATGTGACTGTAAAACTAATATTAGGATGAGATGTCAAACAGATGTTGTAAGAAAGCTTGTCAGTCAATAAGCCTCTAGGCTGAAAAAAGACATGCTGTTGGAAGATTCTTTTTACAAGTATTAGAACATCTGAAAAAAACTTCTGATAAAACTTGGGACTAAACCCAAACTTTTTGTTTATTTTCAAACAGCAACATATGAAGCTGGAGTCATAGGATTATTGCAATGGGAAAAGCAAAAAAAAAAAAAAAAAGGCAAAACACATCTCTATTTCCTTCACCATACCTCCTCTCTCTGTATCATAGCCAGCCAGAAAACATCTACCCTATTGTAAGGCTTATAGTCTTCCTTCTCCAGAAACCTTGCTTCCTCCTCTTTATCCCCAGCACCAACCATACTTTGGTGGGTCCATTTTGACCCCCACGAGAATGATCCCAGTTGCCCTATATCCCTTACCACATACATTGACTAGTATAGACCTACTTGGTGCTGAGAAAGAGGGTGGATTATGGCTGTTTTCTCCTTCTTTTTCCTCAGTAGAGATAGTAACAGGGCAGCTTTCCTCAGTCTGTCTGCCGATTCTCATTCCAATTGGGAGTTTAATAATTTTTTTAGATCCCTTTGTTTCTGGTAAGTTTTGTTGAAACTGATCAGCTGTTTCAAAGCCATTAAGTATGTATGGAGAGAGGGATGGATGGAAAGGGAAAGGGAAGTATAGACAGCGCTAGTCACAGAGTAGTTTGCTCATGAAAATAGGCAGAACTGTTTCTAATGAAACTCAAAACCAAGTTTGTTCCCAAAACAAATAAATAAACCAAAACATATAAAATTCCTATTGATTTCAACAATTAATTTAGATTATATCAATGGAATCTGTACAATTAGCTGTAAAATAACTGTTTAGTGAAAACATCAGTTAGCTTTGAGGACAGATGACTAAGTTACTTTGTGCAAGTGCAAAACTAGAGAAACAACTCTGAATCTCTTGCTAAAGATATAAAATGGATACAGGTGTGAACTGTGTGGTGAAGAGTACCAGAGATCTCTGAGGATCTCTGCTTATCTAAGTCACCAGAGGTGAGATACAACAACCCCAGAAAATCCATCCTCAAAAAGCATCATGCAATAACATCCAAGAAACTCAGGCATAGCTGGAGGGGCGGGCAGCTCTCACCAGAGGATCACCCTCTTCCATTATTAGGCTAAGACATGACTCGATCAAGTGACAGGGTCCTGCTGAGTGACTTCTCCTTCAGCAGTCACACCCCAATGGTGTGTCTCTAGGTTGGCTCAGCCGTGAAGTACAGTGTGACAACTTAAACCAACTCCTGGAGCTAAAAGAGCGCACTTGGTTAGCTATGGTAGGTCAGGTAACAAGTGGTAGGTGCTGAAGTCCTCATCAATTTACCACAATTGCCCAGTTAGAAGTTGGCATGGGAAGACTAGAGAACCATAAAGAAAAGCAGGACAGCTCTCCTGATGGAGAACCTGATAAAACAGCAAGCCCAGCTACTAAGCTGTATTGTAAGAGCTGCATATATCAGTCTGCTCAAAAAGACTGTAAAGATACCATTTAAGTTCTTCTTAATGCATTGCTAAAAGGTAGGCAGATCAATACAGATTATTATCCCCATTTTACAGAGCATGAAAGTGAACCATGGTGGAGTATATTCAGAATTAGCCTTCTAAGCTGGAATTTCCTGTGAGTTTCTCTTTGCCGATCATAGTACTTTAATTTTATTTTTTAAGGTGTCCCTAGCTGAACAGCAGCTGTTTATGTGAGAATATGGCTGTTCACTGAGGAGAGAGGCATTTATTTACATCATTATCAGATTTCAGATTGTTTTCTAAAAATCTGACTTTCAGCATGAATGAAATATAACTGCAACATTTTGCAACACGTAAATTTCTCACAGTTTCTGTGACCTAACATATTTATGGGCCACAAATATATACTTCCACTTTAATATAATCTCACCAAACACATGGAATAATTCTTCCTAATTTTATCATCAGAGACATAGCAAAGGCCTCCCCTTCCTTTGCCGTGTCTGTAAAGGACGCAACCTTGGAGCGTCATTACTCCAATGCAACTTTAACTATCAAGGTCCTAATCCCAGCAAAGCAAAAAATGCTGCGCTGGTGTTATTAGTAATAGAAATGTTTGCATTCACATTTAAAATGCATTTCTTGGACTGCAGTTGGACATTTCATAGAATGACAATGCTGAAGTGGACAGTTTGTAAGGTCAGAAGCAGAAGGCTCTCTATACGTATTAATGTGTGTCACACACCACAGTGTACAAGGCATGCTGTACATGCACACAGTCAGAAATGGAGCAGGGAAAACACAGATGGGAGAAGTGTTCCAGAAGGACAAATGAACAAATACCCTCAAGGGTGTTACTGTAGAAGCCAAGGGTAAATCCAAATGAGAAACAGGTCTTTCCCTTCCTAAAACTTGCTGAGATTTCAGAAGGTTTTATTCCATTTTACACCAAACTCAGGTAAAATCTTGTCTGGTTACTCTTTACTGCATGCAGCTTTGATGTGGCTAAAATCAGATTCAGGTTTCCCCTTTCAAGTTCTCCCTTGTCAAAGTACCCTCTCCTAAATATCCTAACAGCTCATTAGTTCACATGTAAGGAGTACTGCAACTGGATCCCTACCTCAAACCTCGTGTGACTGTCCTGACGCTGAGCCAGATGCTCCTTCCTTTTAATTTTGGTATAAAATTTCACCCTGGGCCTTGCTAATCTGTCCTCTTAAATTATTGTGGAAGTTGAAGACAATTTATGGTTTCGATACATTTAAATCTCTTAAAGAAATAAAACGTCACAGGCTTGAGGCACTGGTGTGCCACAGTAAAGACTGTTTAATTGTCATTGATTTTCCTAGTTGAGAGGCATTGCTCCTTTCTAGGAAATGCTGCTGTTTCAGATTATATTTAAGGACAATTCAGGAATAGCACGTGACAGGGACTCATCTCACAAGATACTTATAGAATCACACAATCACAGAAAGGTTTGAGTTGGAAGGAGCCTCTTAAAGACCATCTAGTTCAACTCCCCTGACATGGGCAGTGACATCTTCTGCTAGACTACATTGCTTAAAGCCCCATCCAACCTGGTCTTGAACACTTACAGGGATAAGACATCTATAACTTCTCTGAGACACAGCAGAAGTGGCTTCTTACTCTGCCAATGTTTGGCCTCAAACCCATAAACAATTCCACCTGTCAAAGGTGTTCTTGAGGAAAAAAAGTCCCACCTCCCTAGAGGTCCTCATCTACTAAAATATAATTTAAATACTTTGGGTTTTTTTTTACACTATGCATGTGACTTTCACGATTCCTTTTATACATCATACAACTGAAAGCAAACACTGTTCACAGACAAGCTGCAAAACAGGTGTTGTATGCAAAACAACAATCAGAAAGTTTTGAAGGTCCAAGGGTTAATTCAAGGGACCCCCTTGTCAATGCTTCTCTAAGGGAGTCAGGCACAGTAATCTGCAGAGCACTGCTGATTAAAAAAATGAATGACACCAGGTTGTCTCTATCTGAGGTACAGGTTCTACACATAGGCACAAAATGCAGCGCAGGTGGAAATTGTACTGAGATATTTAATGAAAATTCAGACCTCCACTTTTTTACATATACAGGGCCTGTGCTACCTGTTCTGGTAAGAGTGTTACCAGAATTTCGGTGGAGTCAGATTTTCTCTTCAAGTATTCAGTATGTTTCTTTCATTTTTGTTTAATAGATTTATTAATAGATACATCAATTGTATCTTGAGCTGCTTAGAGAGCAATTTTTACAGAAAATTTTTAAAATTTTTTTATATTTCCCAATATTAACTAAATTTTACAAGTCATTTGTTTCTAACTTTAAAAGGAATTTCAGGTCTTTTTTAACATCATCTAATATTTTCCATTGATTAATCTGTTGGTGTGATTTTAGCATTCTGGGATTTCAAGATATCTGAGATTGGGTTTCTTAAATCTAACAACTTGAATCTACCATTGCCAAGACAATGGAGAGCAAAAACCTCAAACCCTCAGCATATCAATAATATCTACAAATGTTACGCCCAATGGCAGCGTAATGTCCTAGCACTGATTAACTGAAGTCTAGTCAGTATTGTACCTTTAAATGGATTTTGGCCTTGCTCAGTAAAGGTTTCTTCTTAAAAATAAATTAGAAACATATGATCTCTCAAAAGTGATCCCTTAAACAAATTATCCTTAAGAAAAAATAACAAAATAATAACCATTCTTCTTCTTCTTTATATTTAATTGCTGTTGTGGTTCACTTTGCTGT